TATCAGTAGTTGTACACATAGAGAGAATGAATCACTTCATTGTTCTTGTACATTCAATTTCTATCAGTAGTTGTACACATAGAGAGAATGAATCACTTCATTGTTCTTGTACATTCAATTTCTATCAGTAGTTGTACACATAGAGAGAGTGAATCACACTTCCTTGTTCTTGTACATTCAATTTCTGTCAGTAGTTGTACACATAGAGAGAGTGAATCATGCTTCATTGTTCTTGTACATTAAATTTCTATCAGTATTTGTACACATAGAGAGAGTGAATCACACTTCATTGTTCTTGTACATTCAATTTATATCAGTATTTGTACATATAGAGAGAGTGAATTTCATTGTTCTTGTACATTCAATTTATATCAGTATTTGTACATATAGAGAGAGTGAATCACTTCATTGTTCTTGTACATTCAATTTCTATCAGTTTTGGACACATAGTGAGAGTGAATCACTCTTCATTGTTCTTGTACATTCAATTTCTATTAGTATTTGTACACATAGAGAGGGTGAATCACACTTCATTGTTCTTGTACATTTAACTTCTATCAGTATTTGTACATGTAGAGGGTGAATCACTTCACTGTGCTAGTACATTCACAGTGTTGTCATGATTAATCAGTGTTTGAAACTGTTTCTTTCGGTGAGGTTTTCTATTTATTAGAGAATCTACAGATCTTAAATGGTTGTCAATTTGAAAAATAACAATTTCAGATACAACAAATTCCCATCATATATATGGTTGAAATTATACAGTAATTTTAGAGTTTATTCCTAAAACACAACAAAACCTACGTAGTGAATGTCCTAGGTTATCCAAATGTGTAGACTGCAATGGACAGGTGCTGGTATTTGTTACACTTGCCGAAACAGTAAGAGGAACACCAGGAAGCAGGGAACTGAGCTGAAGGGTTGGGGAAAATGCCATAATGGGCATGGCCGTGTGCACTACGGGCATACTGTAAGGTAGACTACACATCTGGCTTGAGGGATTGGCAAGCTGAAAACACACAAAGATTGTAAGATATCTCATCATGCATGTAACATTAATGAATATATAACAGATAGTTCAATATATTCACTCATCAGAATAGTATAAGATGAAAGATACAAACAGTGTGTTTATAAACCAATACACTACACTGTAGAAGAGAAAACCTTAAGACTTCCAGCTTATGCAGAATAAAAATTAAAATAAAGTACTTATCTTAAACCTCTAGATATTGGCAAGTCAAAGTGGGCATATCACAACTGTATTAAAGTTGGATTCAAAATATAATTAAATTACTTTATTATCAACATATTTCAATAAACTTTGTATCAAAACATTGTTTATAATTCAAATTATAATATAAGTGTTAATTACTTAATTTCAAAGGGAAACATTTAAATAAATTCTCAATCTTCACTTTTATGTATTACATGACATCTCTTTATTCTGAATTGCCCATTTTAGAATTTCTTTTTGCCCCATATTATTTTCTAAGTTTCCAAGGCTGTATACACTTAGATATATTTGAGCTAAAATGAAAATTCAGAGCATCTGTCCTACTTCTTTTAATGAATTATAGGCTATAAAGAAAAACTAACATGAGAATCACATATTGTTTCTGAAAAATGTTAAAGAGAATATTTATGGCTTTCCTTATGAGGTTAGCTTGTTCTCATGATTAGTTTCGAGTTATTCTGTGTCAGTTTTATACTCGCATTACAGCTATTACTCGACTGCCAGGGTTCTCTCCTTTGCCCATCTAAGCACTGATCTGATTTTTTCTTGCTTGCTCCAGTCTTTAATTCCCCACTTAATTGCCCTTGGTGATATCTGTCTCATGACACTCTCCACCTACATCAATGCACCTTCTATCTTGGTACTGTATATAAGCACCTCCTTCAGATAATATTGTTACTTTTTCAAGACTGACCTAATCTGTAGTCTTTAACACCAGTTATTAGTGGAGAAGAAGGGTGGTAGAGTGTGAGAGAGGTATTATTGGAAAAACATTTGATTTAAGAAAATGTTAACTTCCAAAACATACCTCTTCTCACACTACAGCTGGAATCTCACATTGACAAGGTGGAGGGGTTGGTGAGGGCATCTGCATAAATTGTGGACATGCCAATAGAAGATTATCAACCTAGTGGGGAAACTGTACTACATGCAGAACAGGTATGCTCTTCACACAGAACCTAAATCTTGCACTGCGGGTGGAATTTGACTTGATACATCATAAACATTGGCCAAGACTCAACCAGGTAACCGGGGTTCCACTTCTCAGGGTTGTAATTATAGGGACATGGCCCCCTAAATACCACATTGGTGGCTAGGGCATTTGGACCACAAAATATTTGTGAGTGGGTCCCAACCTGTAGCCATGGTGTGTTGTTCTGAGCCACCAGAATCAGGACAAGAAGGTAAGCATCACCAAAGTGGACAAACCCTCTCCTCAACCTGAAAATTCTGAAAGGCAACACCCCAAATTTAGAATGATGGGATCCTGTATGCTATACTCAACCTGAGGAAATGGAACTCATCTGGTCTGGAATTATGAACACTCATCTTCACTCCCCAGTCATGTGGGGAAGGTAAATTCCACTTTTCCCTGGAGTTATGGGGAGGACATGGAACCAACTGTGCTCAACCAAGGACCCAGGATGGGACCATTCTGTGTTCAGAATTATGAGGAGACAACGGACCCTCTTCCATGAACTATGTACTGAACCAATACTGAATAAAAAGAATGACCACTCTTAACCCAACGAGATAGATGAGCAACAAATCTGAACTGATATTATGAGTAGGCTCCCTCATAGGTTGGTGTCTCTTCTACCGACATCTTGGAAAAAAACCCATCAAAAACCTGGGTACATACCCACCTAATCAAGGTAACTGGGGATAACCTTCCAGAAACTGAAGAGACTCAATGAATAAAAAAGGCATTGTCTAGCACCTCTTAAAGCTTTAGTGCAGGCAACCTAAAACCTCAAGGCCCTCACTGGTCATAAAAAATTATTGGGATCCAATTGGTCATAGAAGTGAGAAACAGCAGTCAGAGGAATTGGTGAAAAGGATATATCACCTTCCCTGGCTGCCAGTCTTAGGTAACAAGGACCTGTCTGGGTACAGAAGGACATGGGTAGAATGATAAAGTGTCTTTGCACATGCAGCATAAATAACACTGATTGGTGATGTCCGCACACCAATAGCAACAAAAAATAAACCTTAAGGGAAAGGTGATATATGGTACATGAAGCTAAGGGCTCTAATGGATGTCAAGAAAGAGCATGTAACAAGGACCAAAAACAACTTCAGGAGGCTGGAGAGCACTAAGGACTCAAAGAATTTATCTCATCAAGTATCTAAAGGTAGCCAATAAGGCCACTTTATATAGGGCAATTGTGGAAGATGCAAAAAACCTTGTCAAAGAGCCAGGTCAAAAACAGGTATGTTTGGCATGTTTATACAAAGTAAATTCAACCTCCTCACAATACACCAGTGTCAATATGTGTGCTACTTCCATTGATAAATGTCCACTATGGGACTATGCAAAGACTAAAACAGATGCATGGCAACTTCAGAAGTTAAACCCTGATGCTGTATGAATGACCGCATAACCTCAATGGATAGATGTAAGATGCCTAATCATGGCTGCCCAAACAGAAAGTGGAAGGGATGGGCACTCCTGAAGCTACCACAGAAGCAGAAACCAGGATTGAGACAGCCAATCCAGTTCTACCAATAAAATGTGACAAGGGGTTGAAAGAATCATTGTTAGGACTCTGGATAACAGACTAATCAGTGGGTAAGCATATAGGTGCAATCCCATCCAGTCCTGACTGAATGCATCTATTGCCAATGCTCAAGAGACCAAAAAAGATGGCAGTTGAGTGTTCCACTGAGTAGCAAATGCATTGAACATCAGTGTCCCGAACAGAGAGCAAATCCAATGGAAAACCCCTCGATGAAACATCCATTCTGTTGGGAGAATCCAGTTAGGTCAAGACATTTGATTTGCCAACAACTTCAACACCCCCTGAACATGGCAAACTAGTAATATTATGGGAGTGGGCCTAATATAGATGATCCAATGTTCTAAACCAAAGAGACCTTGATGGAAAATGTAAGATACCACCACAGAATTCTCAGAGTGAAGCATGACGACTTTGAACCTCAGTAATTCCAGACCATGAGACATCACCCTTTGAACAGCAAGATATGCACCCCTACCCTGAAGTGAGGCAGCCATAAAAAGATAAGGTCAAGGACAGTCTCAACCAAATGCAACCCCCCCCCTGATTTGGAGAACAACTCTAGACCTGACTTGCATCCGTGCCAGATACATTAACCCAGGAATTCATGCCATAAATCAGCTTACCAAGCCAAATTTTTCCTTTTTTTTTTTTTACAAAAGTAAAATAGGTAACACTAAGAATGCTCAAAGTATCTTCAAGGGTCTTACTACAGAGAAACCCATTAGTGAATGCTTTGTCAAGAAAAAAATGACAATATTATCTGAAGGAGGTGCGTATATACAGTATCAAGATAGAGGGTGCATTGACATAGGTAACGTGTCACAAGACAGATATCACCAAGGGCAATTAAGTAGAGAACAAAAGACTGGAGCAAATGACAAAAAATCAGACCAATGCTTAGATGGGCAAAAGAAAAGAAACCCTAGCAGTCAAGTAATAGCTGTAGTTTGAGAAGTAAGTATGTTTTGGAAGTTAAGTATTAACAACACCTCTACAAAAACAGTGTTAACTATCAGTGGGATTTTAACAGCAGAAAAATACAAGACCCACATGTAATTAATACATTTTTAAGTATATTTTTATTGTTATAAAAGTAACTAATATGTAAAAATTAGATACTTATTAGATTAGATAAGAAAAATTAAATAAAAATATTAAATAAAAAATACTTTATAGCAGAATCATGTTTTGTGAGCACAGCATTTTGTAATATGATTGAGTCCTGCTGTGTTTACACAAAGCTTCCAACCTATAATTATTCACTTAATTAGCACTAATCTAAGTGGCAATAAAGCAATAAATAGTGTGTAATTATCTGTAGCAATATGCAGTTATTCTATGGAAAAAAAGGGGGGGGGTAATTTGGATTTTTTTTTTTATTATTGAAAGGTTGATCCAATCTAACAGAACTATGGGTTAGCATGAACTACTAATACTAAGCCAACACCTTCAATACTGTGATTTTAACAAAATTATATATTAACATGAACTGTCAATATGTTTCCAACTCCTTCAGTACCGTGATATTAACATAATTTTATGTCAACAACTGTCGGTATGTTTCTAACACCATCACCTATTAACCATTTCTATATTGGAAGTCAACAATCTAAAATACCAGTTTATAGTACGTTCCCTGACCAACTGGTGAAGAAAACCACCCTCAACAGTTTCTAAAAATCTGTTTCCCTAATGGTTTAACTAACATCTTCTCAATCTATATTCCTAAAAAAGATTAAAATTCCCCATAATTATGACCTCATTAACAGCTGAATTCTTAATCTCACTGGAAAGTTTCTCATTAATTTAATCTTGTGGTCTGTAACAATTCCAGCTAAAAGCCTTCTCCCTATATATACTAACAGAAACTCTCACACATTATATATCCTTACTGTTATTTTTTATTATCTTTGATACCCTCAACTTCATCAAGATGTATAAAGCCACTCTTCTTAATACTCTATCCCAATTGAATAACCCATAACTAACGTATTGCAATGAAATTTTGACATCAAAATTTCATACATTTACTCAAGTTTCAGTTGTTTCTATAATATCAAAATTTTCCATTCCAACTAGTAACCTAAGGTCATCTATTTTATACAATTGAGGAAAGACAAGACAATTGTATGTTTCACAAATACATGATTTATTCACAACCATGGTTTCACCAGTAATGGCATTATTAGGTATCTATACTTAGCCTGCCCTTAAAACTATGTCTGTACCTTGTTCTTACACTACATTTTTTTCTAAATCTTATTTTTTTTGTATTTACCCCCTCACCATTGTCTATTCCTAGTTTAAAGCTGACTTAATAACCCTTTCATACAAGTTCGCTGCTACCCTATTTAAATATAAGTCAAGAAAGACATAAAAATGGGGATTGAGCCTTTAGATGATACTGATGGCAAAGTTATCATTGAAGACTGTTGTTCTGACTGAATTATTAAATGTTTATTTCTGTTTTAACAATGAAGATCCTATAAAGAATATTGGAAATGACCTGAATCATGTATATGTTAATCCCTTCATAGTAAATAGAAATACTGAGCTATTAGAAACAAATATATCACAAAAGCCAGGGTTTGAGAAGAGAACACGGACAATTTATGTAAACATCTATCTTTCATTTTTTATAGATCAACATACAGTGTTTAGGTGCCTAAAAATTGGATTGTTTCTAACATTACTCCTATCTTTAATTAAAGGGGTTGATAAGAGTTGCCATTGAAATTATAGGCCAGTTAGTCTGAGAAAATATGCTTTACAAAATCATCTGAAATGGGATATGTTAAATGAAAGCTAACATGGACTCATCAAAAAAAATCTTGCTTTAGTTATCTTTGTTTTGAAGATGTTAATTGTTATCTAGGTGATAGAAAGGTTGCAGACTTAGTCTTCTTAGATTTTCAAAGAGCTTATGATAAGGTTAGGTTAGGTTAGCTAAGAACATCACATCAGAGGAGTCAGGGAAAGATTAGGTAAAAAATTGTTATACAGTAAGATGCTACTATTTCATTTACATTTAACTCAGGATGCATCTTGTGTATCCACTGGCTCTCTCTACTATAGAGCATTTGTTTGTTGGCTCTTTAAATTTGAAATAATTCATATACAATATATCAGTTTGAAATGTATTCTAAACTTAATTTGTGGATAAATTTTGTTATTCAAAATTGCTTTAATATTTTTCTTTAATTCTATTATATTAAAAGCTAGAATACAAGAAACTTAGACAAAGAATACCCCACAAGTCTCTTTTTCACACTCATAAAACACCAGAGGTTTAAATCTCTTTGATACAGTCATCTGCAAGCTTTTTTACCTTACCTTTGGTATATTCATTCTTAAGTATGATGTTAGGAAAACACATAAGTTTACAAAAAATTAAGACAAAATTACAAAACCCTATAATCTGAAAGCTTTTGAAAAGTGGATCTTTCTTCATTCTCAGTTTGCCACTGATGAAGAAGGTCCACCAATGAAAAGTGCTACAAAGTTTTGTACTATTTTCATTAATTCACTCTCAAATATAACCTTCATTTTCAGATTTTGTTTTAGAAACCATTTCAAAATAGTACACATTTAGCTTGTGATGAAATCCTACTTGGAAAGGAAATACCCTATTATAAAATACATTGTTTATTTAATTTCATATCTTGCACATGTCACACTCTTGTCATCTCAGTAAAAGTTATAAATATTCCAGAAAAAACTTTTTTTTTTTAATTATTTAGTTCATAATATTTCAATGTAATTGAATAACACACTTATAAAGTTTCTTTTTGTATGTTTATGTTTTTCATATTATCATCATAAATTTCAAGTGAAAACAAACTATGCACATTAATCAGTAGTAAAGCATAACACACTAATTAAAATATGTAATATACTGGGTTAGCTGGATGAATGCAACCTTATAAAAACTGATAATGATTAGAATGCACTGATTTATCAGCTGGTTACCCCTATATATTATAAGTATTTTCCAATGTAATATTATATCAAAAGAGCAGTAAATTAAATGTATAATAATATTATAAAGTACACATTTTAAAGTTAGTACTAGTACTACACATCCAGATACTCTTAATCTTAGTTTCCTTCTCAAGTAGGACTCTTCCTCATTTTTAACAGAATAATTTTGAGTTTTGTTTACAAGCCAGTATAAATTAAAATATCCAAAAAATAGTTTTGAGTAGATAATGGGTTATGGTAGTCTTAAACATCTTTGGTGTTTTCTAAGATATTTTAATTACCTTGATAAGTTGATATATAAGTAATATTATCACATACCTGTTGTCTTACTAGATGATAAATCAATCACCTTAATATTATAAGAATGGACTAGCATTTACAAACAATAGAAATTAATATAACAAATGTCATATCTATTAATCTACGTCATGGTATTGATGTATTTAACTTCAGTTACAACTTATACTTTTGGTTTTACAATTTAACTTAGGCTTACCTGGTATATGGATTGCTTATTTGAAGTTGAACTTGAAGTTAAAGGCTTATCGTTAAGAAAGGCCGATGAACAAAATTTTTCAATACTTTCAAGACGTTCAGCTAATCGTGATTTCTGTTCAAATGTAAAAGCAGGATGATGGAATGCCATAGTAAACAACAAAAGAATTTCACTGGCTGCTTTGTTATCAACCAAACAAATTTCTATTTCCTCATTTTCTAAACAATTAGTCAAAACGTTATAAAGCACATTTGCACCAACACGATTGGATGAATTAAGAAGTGCTAAAAACACTATAAGTTTACTTCTTCCTATTCTGTCACTTAACAGAATGATACTATTACTTGTAATGTCCGATATATCTTTTATATTATTCGCTTTCGGCTCAACATCTCTGAAAACACCGAAGTCTTTTCTTCCCAGGTCTTCCAAGCAGGTACCAAAAAACCTTAACTCTAAAGGCAAGCACATGTTAAGTAGATTACAAATTATTTCTATTCTACTCGAACCATTTAAATGTTTAAACCAGGCATATATTTCTTCTTTGCACACCATGGTTCATTACTAACTCTGCTAATATATATATATGTATATATTGTAATATATTTAAACAAATCAGGAACTGTAGTAAGTCTACGTAAGTAACACACATTCACAGTACAGATCGTATAGGAGAATACAGAGCATCCGGGTTACAGTGAAGTTATACACCAATGAGAAAATTGGCCAGACGCTTAATTTTTTATTTTTAAGCCCCCCCCCCAAAAAAAAACAACACATTTTTGCTGTTTGTTTCTGCTCTCCCGTAAATAAGATATTAGCCTTATTTAAAGTTAGAAAATGTACGAAATGTTATTTTTAGTGCCATGAAGGGCTGAGAGTGTTGGACTGAGGTAAATATTTCATTGAAAATAGTTCGAGAACGCATCATTGATACTATTCTATATTTAATTCTCAACAATATAACCAGTGTTATTAATGTTTAGTAGATATAACAAGACTAAGTTAAATAGTTAGTATGTCAGGCCATGTCTTTGCTGTCTCTCTCACCCTTACTCTATTTTACTTTTTTTATTATAAACGTTCATATCAGTCTTATTCAGTTAATAGTAATAGAGCAGTTAAATTTGACATGATATGGCGTTCATAACTGAAAATAATAAACAAATATTTAGTATTTCAATGCACTGGTAACCCAGTATGCAATTAAAAATATCCGTAGAACAGCAACTTCCAGAAATATTAAGCTGAAAATAGACTGAACATGAACAGAAAATGGAAAACAAGCAAACATACATGATTCTACAAAACAAAATATTTATTCATAAGAATAGTATTTTTGTATTTATTTAACTTACGTGGTGCTTTTCAAAAAGTTTGCACATGGAGCATTAGGAAAAGTAAAGAATTACCACACTTTTAAGTCAGATAAACAAGTCCTAATTCAGTATCTCACAATGCATAGACTAACTATATTGTTACGTCTCTGTTCGTTTGTAATTTTCCGTAAAAATTCTTTCCGAAGAAACTTTAGCGATAGAAGTCCTTTCTTAAATAAAACTAGTTTATTCTTTCTCACGCTATAACAAACGCTATAATTCACAACGAACGATTCACGTGCTCGACTCAGTTGTCAGTCGCTATGTTTGTCTGCAGTTCAATTACCATTCCATTGTTGCCGTCACTTCTTGGCGGTCTTATATACATGAATACCGCATATCTAGTAAACAATCGAGCATTCACGAACCTTCGAGAATATGACGTGTTACTAGCGTCACGTGACCCCCGCTGTCGTAACAATTTCAATGATCAGAGCCGGCTTTGAGAGACTTGCATAGATATTTTTATGATAAAAAGACCATACCGTTCATTACGCAACACCTTTCTGTTGTTAAAAGTGGTTCTATACATGGATAAGCTCATTTCAAAACGTAATATGCACAGGTGCTTTATTTTTGTTTTAGATATATGATTGTAGTCTATACAACTAACAAGTGAAAAGTTTTGTATATAGAACAATGTTCCAGGTCTTTTTACTAGCCAGTCAAAATCCGTGCATTGAAAGTATGAATCTGCTATACATAAAAATATTTATCATTGCTTATTTTCACATTTTCTCTTACCAAATACTATGAGGAGCCTCACACTTTGTATTTTGCCTAGGGGCTTGCAGTATCTAAAATAAGCACTGCCAAAGACTATTACAAATAACATATACAAAAGAGAGAACCCAAAACTCATTCCAACTCGTACATATACCTGTGTCGCCCCTTGCCATTTTCTAGGGAGTGGACACAGACGCAGGGTCAAACTGGTACAAGTTTCCATAAGACAGACATTGCCGTATGTAACCTTTATCTAAGCAAAGGGGCTAGAGCATGTTTAAGCCCTTTGGACATCTGATTTACAATGATTTCTTTAAATGGGTGTATAACTGTTGCGTGAGCGAGGTCATGTGACTAATATCACGCCACTTCTCTCGAACCTTCGGGAATAGTCGGGAGATTACTAGATATAGGGTAGTCTGGTATATATATATAAGAGGGTGACAACGTGACGAATTAATGTGTGTGTAGACAGTGAGTAATTGATCTGCAGTCAGGGAGTATTATTGAGCATGTTCGTTGTTATAGCGTTTGTTTTAGCGCGATTGTTGAAATTGTTTGTTTGTTTTGGAATTTC